AAATAAGCAGTGAAGAGTAAATGGTGTTCCTAATTTGGCAGTAAGAAGTTTGCCCACTTTTCCTGTACATTAAACAGCTGAGCTTGAAAAACACCCCAATCCACAACATAAAAAAAATATTTCCAAGGAAAAGTTATTAAAATCTAAAATTCTGTCAGGGTTGATTGAGTCACCACCCCTGGACGTATTTAAAAGCCTTGTGGATGTGACACTGATGGAAGTGGTTTAGTGGTGAATTTGGAAGTGTTAGCTTAATGATTGGACTTGATGATCTTAAAGGTCTCTGCCAAACTAAATGATTCTATGATTCTGTGCTCAGTTGAGCCTCTCCCTCCATCACTCACAGAAGTTTTGGTGAGTTTCTCCTACTACTGCCATCTCTTAGACATTTCATGTCCTGCGCAACCCTCATGTGCTGACCAGCCCATTGCCCTGTGGCCAAAGCCACTTTATTATGCTTCTCTCATACACCCAGTATCATAAGCATTTATATCACTTGCATTTCTGCTTAAGCCGTAAGTTTTGGAGTCATCCTTACTCTCATAATTTTTCTTTCTATATTCCCTGGCTTTTTAGGTTTCTCTGTCCATAGCGTTATGTTGGAACTACTATTATTTTTTGCTTGCTTGCTACCACAACTGGAAATCTCTATTTTATCTTACCATTTTAAACTTGAGTTATTGCAACTTTCTTCTTTATTTCTATGTTCATACATTACTTCTGGCAAAACCTCAAGGAATCCAAGCTATTCAAAGTAACAGAGTGTGTCTCATTTTTATCAATTCTCTTCCTTTTCATTCGGTCTTTTACAGGAGATGCACAGAAAAATTAGGTATGAAAACCAGCTGCTGCTTAGTCACAGGTGTCTACAGCATGCTACAATTTGGATCTAAAGCAATCGTGCTGGTCCTGTGGGTGGATAACAGCTTACAAAACATAACTTTTAAAGGCGGTTGAATAAAAGTACCAAGTCATTGTAATGAATAAACAAATACATCTTGGTATTCCACTTAAGCAGACTTTCTAAGAGAAAATTCTTTTCCTGAGTCATATTTCTGACCTTCCTACTATAGACCTTGAAGACAAACAAAAACCAGGAAATCAGGTACAGTGTTCGCCCCACTGATGATGCTGGAAAAGGGACCCCCATAAAAATGTGCTTCAGTGTTGCTAAAGTAAAATTATCTTTCAACAGAAGGAGGTAGGTCCTGTGTTCAGCAAAACATTATCTCCAAGCCTGACAAGAGAGCTTTGGCAGATGCTTTCTGATGCCATTTCCAACTCATTTTTCACCACTGCTGGCACAAGTTGTTTGGCTAATCCGTCAAACCAAGCACACAACATTAATCCCTGCTCACCTCAGGACACTACTAACAATGCTCTGGCAGCATAAGGCTATTTCACACCTATTGGAGAAGCTCACAGCCATGACCAAAGAGCTGCTTAGCAAGTGGTCCAGCATGATGCGGTGACAGTGCTGGTGAGCAGACCACTCCAGGCACACACTGGTGACAAAGGCAAAGCAGGACATGCACAGGTCCTAGGAACACAACTCAGGAGTCTCTTTTGTCATTCCCTTGGTCTTCAGAGGGACACTGCACACCAGCTTGTGGTTTCCACAGAGATCGTCAGGTTGACTTGTTTCCTAGTGGCTGAAGGTGGGATTCCTCTCCCCAGACTTTAGATGCCCACCAGGTGTGAGTCAGTGTGGAGATAAATCCCCTCTGCAGCCAGCTCCCCTGCTCTATGTGCTTGCTATTAGGATGGGGTGTACCTTGCTCCAGGAGAGTATTGTCTCCTTCCATTGCCTATGAAGTGAGCCTGGGTGAGTAGCTGAGCTGGAGACACTTACAGTATAAGAGTCAGGCAGGATGAATCCTCTGTCTTGTCCAAAACCAGGTAAGCCTAAAGGAAAAGTCTTGAATGCACGTGTTTTAGTGTTAGGTATCATTATGTCTCTGTTAGTCACATATTTGCACATTTTAGAAACGCACGACTGAAATCAAGGTCTGTTTTTTTTTTTGACTGCAGAGCCAGCAGGCACCAGACCCAGCCTGAAGTTCTCTTTTTAGAGTAAATATTTTTGGCATATGGAAGGAAAGGCTGCCAAGTGAGGGGAACATTAACTGAACTGCCTCACCGAATGGGCTGACAAATACCTACAGATCCCTCGATCCTGACCTCCTGGGGCTGGCTCTGGCAGCCTTCACTCGCCAGAGCAAGCCTGAAGCCAAGGAAACCACGTGCCCGGGTAAGGTGAGCCCAAGGTTGGCTCCGTCAATCAGAGAGGAGGGACATGGTGCCAACAGCACTCACACAATTATCTGGCTCAGGTTTTGAAACCTCTGCTCAACAGCGATGATTCAGCAGTTGATTGCTGTTCATTTACTGGAAACTGCTTCTCGTCACTCAGAAGGAAAAACAACTGGAAAAGGCCTATATCACTCAATTTTACATTAGACAAGACCATTATGGTCAATTTCAAGCGTACAAAAAAAAATCATGTACTGGAAAGCTCGAACATCAAAATATTTTTTCTTCTTTCAAGAACCTTTTAATTCTCATATTAACATAATTTTCCTTCTATTTGCCTTCTGTTTTTCTGGCCTTCTGGGTGTGCACTTCCCTGTTTTCTCTGACCTCATGAAGACCAGAAAATCTACTGTATATTTAACCCACCCCTCACAAACACACACACACATATGAAATTTCTTCCTATATCTGGGACCTGAGCACTACAGGGAAGAAAAAAGGGAAAAAGAAAAGAAAGAAGAAAAAAATACGATTTTGCAAGATCCAAGAGAAGTCGCAACAGTTTGTTGTACCTGGCATCCCATCCAACATGTTGAAGACTAAGCTGAGACCCTTCAAAGCAAAAAACATGGGTAGCTGGCACCTGTAGAAACAACTTTTAACTGCAGCTGCCACACACGTACTGCATCTGGAATGCAGGAAGATGCAAAGTCCAGTCCCGAGCTTGACTAAGTCAATGGCCAGTCTGTAATTTCAGAAGGTCACATCTCTGGGACTGCTGCTTCAACAAGCAGTAGCATCTGGTCCTGGATGTACCATACTGAAGAGCAGAAGCTTGACCTGGTATCTTCACGGCACCGTTTTGATGCATCATCTGTCCACTGAAAGACTGGCACCTGCTAGGAGTCTGCACTCAACATTTAAGTTAGTTCCCATTTTGGGGTTTAACCAGTGGTTAGGAGCCCTGTGTGCCACAGAGGTACATTTTATAGGTGACTCAGATGTATCTTCATCATTCACTGTCACTGCAGTAACCTTCAGAGTAACACAAAGGCCATTTGCTAACTCAAATCAAAATGCATAAATATTATTTAGAAAAAAAACTGTTGCTTTAGGTATTTGCTTTCTGGCCAGCTCATCTGGATTCAGGTACCAAACACCAGGTATAGACATCTTTCACACTAGCTGGGAAAAATTACACCAGCTACCCCACCCTCATCCATGATAACCCTAACCCTAACCCTAGCCCCACCACTGGCACAATGACATCCTGAGCCTTCACTTGGGCCCCTGGAGGTTGACACAATGCCAAGAAAGGACCATCCTCTATAGATGCTTGAATTCGACCTTACTCTTATTTCCAAGGCAAGCATCTTCCTGAGACTGCATGCAACTTTGTTTTGTCCATGCCCACCTCCCCAGGTCTAACAACTATGATTACGTAGCAAACTAGACTGTGTTGCTCACCACAACATCCTTTTCAACATATCGAATGGTACTGTGGCTTCATCACATTTGACATCCCATCAGTGCTGCCTACGAGTAATGGGAGGACAGTGATTGCATCGTTTTTCCAGAGCACATGCCTACAAAACTTCCACTACACAGGGGTGTCCATGTAACCTACACCGTTCAGTAACACTTAAGTCCACGTCCTGCTACAGGCACTGTAAGATGATTTTATCGGGTGTGTAATGACTGCTAATGAAGAACTAACTAGTGGGAGTTGTACCAAACCATCCCACTTGCATGATGTCATCTTTGCAAAGGGAGGCATCCTGAAGCTTACTCACAGCAACTCTCAGTCTGTGGCTTTCAGTATCTGTGGGAGAGCTTTCTTTGCTTATATATTCACCAAGGTACTAAGACAGGTAGCTTCACTTAGTTCAATTCTTCTAGGACTTGATGCTATGGTTTCTTAAGGCAAGTGAAGCAGACACCCCTAGGATCCTCTGAAACTGTAGTATTTCTATGGATTCACTTATGGGTTCCACAACTTCAGACCTATCTCTGGTCACCAAAGCATCATTTACACATTCATAAAAAAAGGTTAATTCATAAGGATACATAACATACCCCTGAGTTTTTATCCATATACTATATGATACGTATTCTGAAATACTGCCACATAATCAATAGTTGCAATAATATAAGTGATTTGTGTCTAAATCCTCGTCTTTTACATACTTTCCCCAGCATCCTCAAAACTGCTGAACTCTTTTCTGGCGAGGTCCATCCCAAACCCACATAAATTAAATGTAATTGGCTGGGTATTAAAAATACTTACCTTCTGATGGCAGTGCAGGGGTGAGTGATCTGGGGGCTTCCCCTGCCTCTTGGGGTCTGTTTTGCTGTTAATGGTTCCTTCCACCCTCGTTATACATCCCAAAAGGCAGCTCTGGGGATTCCTGTCTCTTTGAGTAAGAAATTAGCTGAAGTGATGGTGGCACAGATGAAAGAAGGATTCAACATGTGCACCAGCCCACAGTCCTCAATGATGAGGAGGGAAGGTATTTGGTCAGTTTTGTTTCACTTGTGGGCAGAACAAATAATTCCAGACTCTTGACCACAAACTGATAAATTTTCAACCTCTTGTAAATCTTTGTGAATCTTCTCAATGGATTCCTCTCATGCATGCTCAGGAATCAGGTGGTTTCTGGGATGCAGTTAGTGAGTGTGAGCTGCCAGACTACCAGGTCCTGAAGAGGACCTTTGTTATAGGACACCTGTAACCACCTTTGTCCTACCTGGGGAAGAAATAAGCCCTGTCCAGCAGTGTCCCTCCAGCTCAACATCTCTTCTCACCCCAGAACACAGCTGGGACTTTGTTCCATCCTCCCTCTCACTCAGGTTTTCCAATACCCTCTGCATCAGCACTTCTACCCCCAAGCCTTGAGGCTGGATTCTTCATCAGGGGCTGTAGCGATAGGACAAAGGGTAACATGTTTAAACTTAAAGGAAGTTCAGGTTAGGTATAAGGAAAATGTTCTCCACTGTGAGGGTGTTGAGGCACTGGAACGGATTGCTCAAAGTGGTAAATGCTCCATCCCTGGCAGTGTTCAAGGCCAGGTTGGACAGAGCTTTGGGCAACATGGGCTAGTGCGAGGCATCCCTGCCCATGGCAGAGGAATTGGAACTAGATGATCATAAGGTCCTTTTCAACCCTAACCATTATATGATTCTATGATTCTTCTTCCCCAAAAGCCCACATCTGCCTCCCTGCTGATCCCTACAGTTTAACTAGTCAAGATGCTATCTCCACTCCACCTTTCTTGGTCCAAAAACCTCCTCCTTCCTGATGTTGCAACCTTCTTCTCCAGATGACCATCATCCTCCTGCCTACACAAAACAACCCTGGGCATTACATGACTAACTGCTGTCTATATCAAATATGGCCTTATTCATTCCCCCTTCCCTTCTTCTCCTGCACCTCTGGAGTCCAATCCCAAGTGCCTTTTGTTCGAGGAAGTCCAGCAACATTAGATTCAGATCTTAATCTCAACTGCTGCCTCCCTCCTGTGCTATATGATTTTGTATGGAATTTATCTCACCTAAATCATTTCGTCATCTAACAAGGCTCTTAGCTCAGCAACCCAGACTCTCCTTAAAATCAATAGATAGTCATCTAGGATTGGTAGGATGAACAGGTGCCTGGAGGTACCTGTTTCCCCCCATGCTTGGCAGGAGGAGCTTGGTGTGGGCAGCTCACTTGGTGACTGCTGGTGTTAAGGGAAAAGAAACCCATCTGGGTAACTCAGCTCATATACGCTTTCAATCATGTCCTCTGGTGTCCGGACTTCACTTCTGCTGGACCTTCCTCCAAAATTAACTTTTCTGTCTCATCACTACCTTGTCATTTCTTTCTTCTCGTATCCTATTTTTTATGTCTTGCTCATCCCCAGTTGTAATTACATTACTCACAGTAGGTCAGGCAAATGTGATGTCACCAGGTTGGAAAACCGCTGGTCAAATTTGCCCCTTGCTAAGCCAGTATGATCTGATTTTTGGCCTCAACCCTATGAGCACGCACATACTTGTTTAATTGCATGCATGAGTTGTGGTGCTGCCTGCACTGGGACTATGCCCATGTGTGAAGGAAAGCACGTGCCCACAAGCACAGAGGCTCACAGCCACAGAAAGGGAAGGGGCTGGTTAGAGTTCTTTTGACTGGGTCTGGGGCTGAAGGTCTTCTACATCTCACAGGTGGACTCTGCAAAACAAAAGATTAGGTAGGGTCCCATGGACCCAAAGCCACAATACAGGGCTGGCTCAGGGACCGTCCCTGAAAATGAGAAAGGAATGGAGAGCACAGCTGTAAACCACAGCAACCAGATGTCTCCCGGTCTCATCCTGGTGCAAAAGAAGTGGCTTACACAAGGTATGGGATCAAGTTAAAAATAAATCCTAGTGATTGTACCTGCCTATTAACATTCATCCATCACCACAATTATTAGCTAGGATGGAGCTGTAACATTTCATGGCATTTAGGACAGACACCACTTTCTTCTGACTTAATGGTATCTCCTGTGAACTAATTTACTCAACTACAAACTATTATTATTACTTGTTATGATAAACCATGCATATACTGGGTTTAAGTATCAGGCAGGGAACAAAGGTTTACACGCACTCCATGAGGACAGTCAAAATACTGAGACAGGATTAGACATTGCTTAATGTGTGTATCTATTTTGGGTGCTGCTGCCTCACTGAGGTCTGATACAGCTGAGCAAGACTGAAATGAGAGCCAAAGCATCTAATATGAACACTTTTTGTCATTCCCATAGAACAGTTCTTCCCATTTCTACAGCTGTAAAGAGTTTCAAATGGTTTTGCTTTTGCAGGAGTTTAGTCCTGATCTAGTCTGTTAAGTCAAAGACCTCCCTCAGATGAAGTAAGCATTGGACTGAGCCCTAGGAGAAGGTATTTTTTGGAACATTTTTGTGGGTACAAGCATTAAAAAAGAAAAAGAGCTCAGGGATAGCACACCAGAGACAGTATTACCCCATTACAATGCTCCTAGAAAAAGATCTGCCATTTTTATTTTGGGATAAAGATTCAGAAGATCTTCAGAAGGCAACAGTGGCTTTTCCATCAAAAACCTCATCAGATTCAGATCATTAGCAATATGCCCAAATCTTCTCATTTTTCTTCTATATTTTGTTTGTTTTTAACTGAAAGAAAGCCATGAATGCATGCCAGCCCTTTATACTCCCCCAAAATGTGATATATTCATCATTCCCAATTCTTCCAACAGCATGAATACATCAACAAAAAGGCCCAGTCTAATGAAAAAAACCCCAACTTTATTTGGAAAAAAATAGGAAGTAAAACAAGTTTCCATATGTTTACCGTAAAAACAATCTAGACTCCACCATGGGGTGTATAAAAGTACAGACTACAGAATGTATAATTTGGCATCAGTTAAAAAATGCCTTTGTAAACATACCCTATTAAAATTTAACTGCATCTTTTATCATTTACTCAAGTAACATATGAAAGGGCTAGAACACTTATCACAGAAGTAGACATTTTATCAGGGCTTAGTAATAGCAGTGATGTATTGTGCAATTTGCAGTGCGTGCCTGGTTTACGATACATTAGTGGTGACTATTATTCATACACATCTGCAAAGTATCCTTTAAAGTGTATCCAGAAATATTAATACCTATTAAAAAAATAAAAAAAAAAGTTATAGGAGCAGCAGACTTTCCAAACCTGTTGATAAGACTTGTAGGTTTGTGTCTGGACTGCTGGCCAAGAGAGGGACACACAGGCAACACTACAGTGGGAGAACAAGTTTCATTCGTATTTGTTTTTAGTGGTTACTGAGATGAAATGAGGTCAAATATCCCCAAATAGCTCTAGATTGAGATTCAGTGACACTTTTTGGACATAGGTTTTTATGGTATCAAAATAAATGTCGTAAGAGTTCATACGACTCATTGAGCTGTCAAGTCTGGGTCCTGCCCATTTAGTTTGGATTTAATGAGCCAGAGACGCTTGAAAGATTTCAGATCTTCTTAAGAAGTAGCTTATATGACTCACTGAAGTTTGCATTACCCCAGTGATTGCCTGGCTAAGCATACATACCACCCACGGGCCAGTGGCAAAACCTCAGCATCCCTCAGTGCTGATGGCAACCCAAGATCAAGCAATGAGCTCACTTAGGCCCTGAATTCCTGCAAGAAATTCCTTTAACAGGCTTATTCTAACCTTTTCAAAGTAGTCACTGTTTCTACTACAAACAGAACAACAAAAGTGGGAGAGTTTAAATGAAAAAGTTATATTAAACCATCACAGCTACTAAAGTGCAGCTGAGTAATTCCCCAGTTACTTTACTGAAGTGGCAAGAACAATTTGAGTACCGTACATCATTGCTGCATCTCAGACTTGATGAGCATATGGATAATAAGGTTTGTGTTTGAGCAACACATTACGATGGCAGGAGGCGTACACAACCACGCAGTGAGAGCAAGAAGTGCTACACCACGGTGTTAACATGCAGCATCATGTATTTGCATAGGAACGAGACACCAAAGGGTAGAGACACTGACTGATTTCCTCCTTCAGCTTTTCTGGGGTTACACTCTTGTGTTAAAGAAAGGGGTCTGCTATGTATTTTGTATTGCTGGAAATTCCACATATGAAGGTCTGCAATGCACTGCAAAAACAATAAATGCCTTTTTGTCCTTTCAAGTGGGAAAGCTTTCACTATTACAAAAGCTGAGAAAGCAAGAGGAAAGTTAAGAAGATCTGCAGGTGGACAGCACAATGCCTCCTTTGAGTTGAGGGGCAAAGACAGTTGCTCAACAAACACTCTGCTGTTTGGGGGTTTTTTTAATGTGTGTGAGATTGGGAATTCAAAGGATTATATTCAGCACAGCTTAGTCTTAGCAAAACACATATTCCAAGACCTGCATGTGTTGCCAAATGTTACAGTCCATTTCACGAGACTTGAATACATCACTTCTGTTGTTGTTTCTGTTGCAGGAAAAATATCCCGAATGCAGGACACTGTTTGATTTTGTAGCAAAGCAGATACGGGCAGTATATGGATTAACTAATTATCTCTGTTTACATAAGGAAAAGTTTGTTTTGATGTAGGATGAAAATGACTGGAAAATACAAGCCAGATATTTCATCTTTTCTTTCCCATATGCCAGGCACACATGCTAACAATATCCCCCAACCATTCATCACACATTCTGTTTGCTGTGCCTTAACCCCATGGAAGAAGGTCACTTGGTGCGCCAAGCTGAGAATATACATTACACAAATTTGTGCACAACACATCGTTGTGCTCCAACATAGGGGTTGTTTGTTTTTTTCTCTTGAAGAGAAGTTTGGAGACTGGAAAATGTGGGCATCATGTTCATGACAGATTATTTTTGGAAGTAATTTATGTATAAATGAATATCCAGCAGGAGATGCTGATGACAAACATTCAAGTGACAAAAAGCCAGTCACACTTCTCAGCTATCTGATTACAGGAGAACTTCTTCAGTCAGCTCAATGTCACTGAATGGATAGCAATTCCGCCTTGCAAGGCCACTTTGGGGAAAGCTGTGCACGCGTGTCCAGAAACAGCGTTTGCACTTTGACATCAGTTCTGCTTTATCAGGGCATTTTACAGCAACTGCTGTTAACTGAATTACATTGCTGCTGTGAAGGACTTCTAAACCCCAAGCCTGTTGTCTTGCAGAAAAAAAATAGGGCCAGGCGGATGGAAGAAAGGGCATGAGGCTAGCATGGCAGCCTGTGGCCAGTGTGAGGGCCATCGCCTACAAAAGGGAATCCAAAATTGTCCTACTCAGTCTAAAAAGCCCCTAATGTAAAGCACCAACCTGCTTGCAAATGTAAGAAACAAACCCAAGTGAGAAACTTAAGAGGTCCTCAGGTTTGTTTCCTCATTTTCCAGGATTTTATAGCCAAATGCAGGTGAAACAGGGACCACCAGTAAGGGCATTCTCTTTGGGCACCTTTTTTACTCATTAGCAGTGACAAGTGACTTCAGAATCGGAGG